TACTCCCTCCGTCCTAATTCCACCTTCCCACATTGACTTTTTCCCATTTTTAAGGACTCCATATTTTTACCTTTGACTTCCCATTTTGCCCCTTACTAAAAATTTTAGGAATTTTTTTTAAGGCTAACTAAAAAAAGGTTAAAAAAGGGATTTAATAAAGGAAAAAAACATAATAAAACATCTCAAAAGGAAGCAATCCACGGTACATTAAGCCCAAATAGCAAAGGCATCCACTTTTACAAATTTCATGTTCAACCAAATTCAATAAGGAGGGAAAGTTCTAAAAATTTCCCTCCCAAACAAAAACAGAAAATTCCCCCAAAGCCTATTCTATAAATAGCAGCATACTTTCCACTTTTAGAAAGGGAATCCCTAGCCAATTTTTTTCATCCTTAATGTCTGCCCCAGTTCCTGAACCTCCTCCTGCGTTTGCTGTTGCTGCTGCCAGCATCTCGACAGGTACTACGACCATCCCGAGTGCTGCAGCGACCATCCCGGGTGCTGCTGCTGTCCTTCAACCAGGCAGAGATGAGGACCTGCGAAGAGAACAAAGATCATGCAAGACCAGGCTATCAAACAGTCAAAGGCAAAGAATTGTAGAAGCAATTCTACCATATGCAAAAAAAAAACATTCAGGTGAGTACACAGCTCAGAAAGCAATAATCAGCAAGGTTGCTGATGAATTCAATGTTTCCAGAAGAAGCATAGGAGACATATGGAGCAGAGGTAGAAAATAGTTAAAGGAGGGAGTTGCCATTGATGTCAAAAGTAAGGTGTATGGTAATACTGGTAGGAAAAGAGTGGTCATAGATGTTGAATCTATCCCAAACATTCCTCTAGCCCAAAGGACAACCATCAGATCACTAGCTGCTGCACTCGGTATGTCTAAATCTACTGTCCATCTTTGCATTAAAAGAGGTTTGCTAAGAAGTCATTCAAATGCAATTAAACCTCTTCTAACAGATGGAAACAAGCTGCAAAGATTGCAGTTTTGTTTGAATCAGTTAGAACCCACAAGAATCCCTTGTAATCCCAAGTTCAGAAGTTTTCATAATGTTCTCCACATGGATGAAAAATGGTTTTTTATGTCCAAAACATCACAGAAATATTATTTGGCCAACTCTGAAATGGATCCTTACAGAACTTGTAAGTCAAAGAGATTCATCACCAAGGTCATGTTCTTATGTGTTGTTGGTAGACCATTATTTTCAGACAATGGAGAAGTACTGTGGGATGGGAAAATTGGAATATTTCCTTTTGTTGAGACTGTGGCAGCTAAAAGAAAGAGCAAGAATAGAGAGGCTGGGGTTTTGGAAATGAAACAATTACTCAGTGTTACCAAAGAGGTGACAAAAGATATGTTAGTGAACCAAGTTATACCTGCNATGAGAAATGGCCATCTTTCTTAGACAGAAGCATTGTGCTTCAGCAAGACAATGCCAGACCCCACATTTCTGGGACAAACCAAGACTTCATGACAGCAGGAAATGCAAATGGTTTCAACATTACATTAAGTAACCAACCCCCTAACTCCCCAGACCTAAACATACTTGACTTGGGGTTTTTTAGAGCCATCCAATCTCTGAAAGAGAAGTGTGCTCCAAAAAATGTGGCAGAACTTGTGGAAGCAGTTAGGGGTGCATATGCAGCTCTTACAGCAGAGACATTGAACAAGGTATGGTTAAGCTACCAAGATGTGATGCAGCAAGTTATGAATGATGAAGGAGGAAACAAGTACAAACTACCACATATGGCCAAGGATAGATTGGCTAGACAAGGAGCACTACCAGTGTGTCTAAATGTACCACATACATTGGTGGAGAAGGCAGTAAGGGTCCTTGCCCAAGCTACTGGACAAAGTGAACAGCAAGACCAGCCTGAGTTCATGCCTGAAGATGGAGAAGACTTCTCATCTTCAGAGATGAACTAAGTGTTTATGAAATGAACACAATCTTTTTGATTTTTGTTAATGGTTGGGTACATTCTTTTTTTGCCTTTTGATTTTTGTAAATGCAAGTTATGCCTAGGCAGCAGTAGGAAAGTAAGTCCTTGAGCTTTTTTTGTTTTCAACATCAAGGCAACTACTCAAATGTACTCCAATCAGTTTTCTTTCACTACCACTCACAAGATGTAACACTGATGACTTAGTAGAACTTTAAAAGTAAATTTAAATATCATCATTGCTGTGATTATGTGTTGTGTGTGTGGGAAATATATGCAGGGACTTAGCAATTCAGACAGTAAAGACAAAGACACTTCACTTTGTATTCCTTGTGGGAGAGGAACCTTGGAATGTGTTGGACCACACCATCCCCTTGGTCAAAACCAGAGTGGCTGCCCATGTCAAAACCAGGCACCCAGTCTCTGCCCTGCCCCTCCTTTGGCCCAGGGGCAGCCACTCTGGAGTATTTATAAAGTCAAATTTCATTCAGTTTCTTTCTCTGTTTTCGTTAGTCATTTGATATATTAATATAGTCATATCACCAATAATTTTGTAAATCTATTTATGATGTTTTTAAATATGCATGTAATCTTTATTTTTTAATTCTACGCCATTTTCATATAAAATGATTTAAAATAAGTTCAGTCAAACATCATAAATCAAAACAGACTATTTAAATTGGGACAAAGAGAGTACACTATACCAACTTATTATATTTTGTCTTTAAAGAGTATCCTATGTAAACAAGTGGCATTTGCTATTGAAGATCCTAGATTCCAGTGTGGTCACACCATGAATCCAAATAATCCTAATCTTTTGTATTTTTACAATCCTAATAACCGTCTTCCCTTTAATCCAAACGATCCGAACGCCAGGAATATGTTTGATATATATAAATGTTATCTCTTCTGAGGGATTTGAGTATTGTACTCCATTCGCGAACTTCTTCTCAAGTTGCTCTCAAGACTTAACGTTTCCAAACTTCATTCCAGAGACGCGATTTTTGCATGTACTTTATTTCTTTTATTCAACATGACCCTTTTAATTAGTTGTATTTTTTTACAATAATTTGTTATAATATAAAAAGGGTAAAAAATCAATAATGAAAATATTTAATAACGAAAAAATAATAATAACATAAATATAACATTTCTAACAAAATAAAATTTTATTAATTTGTATTATTAATTTATAAATGATATTATTTAATCTGAATATAAAAAGATACTCCCTCTGTCCCAAATTAGCTTACAATTTTTTTCAATATCCTCTCGATAACTTTTGTTTATTTACGCAATGAGTAATTTACTTAAATAGGACTAAAATATAATGACTTTCTCAATATAGGACCATATGTTTTATTTTCCAATGTAGAACAATTGGTCATTATCTCTTAGTCATTATTCAACTAAATGTCCAACATCACTTGTGCATTATTCTTCTCACTAGACATTATTAAGTCATATTTAGGGAATAAAAAAGTTTAAGTCCTACATTGGGAAATGACTTATGTTTTAGTCCTATTCACTACAAATTTTACTTTTTTAATATGTAATTTTTATTTCTTATCGATATAACGATTTGTAAATAAAATGATTTCAAAAAATGAGATATTTCTCCTCGTAAACCCCATTTTGTAATCAAATTGGAGACGGAGGGAGTATTTTTTTTATAAAAAAGTGTAATCATTGTAGTGGTGATGATGCATTATAGGTGTAAAATGAATGAAATGATGAATACAGTCAGTGCTGATGTGGCACTGAGTGACTACTGATTTGGAATGAGAGATGGTAAGGCAATATAGGTAATCTTAGAGATGCTCTAATAAATAACTATATCGACACATACACACACATGTCAAGTTTTTCTCTTTTTTGTTCCACTTCAAATGTACTTTACTCCCTTACTCTAAAAGATTAGAAACACTTATTATTTCAGACTCTCGATAACTTTTGTTTGTATACTCGTTTTCGACTTTTCGGTGATCACTTGATAAAGTATTCTTGTCGCATCTTGTTTTGTAGAACTTTTGATATACTTTTGAACAATGTAATTTATACCTTTTATTTTTCTATCAATATGTAAATAAAATCTTTATTTTTATATACAAAATTTGAGAGTTGAACTCTTAAAATCGTGACAAGTGACGAGTCCCCTTGGCAAAATTTTAATGAATCATCTGTTACCTATTGATGACTTAAATGATGTGGCAATGTAATCAAAATATATAATATATGTCTTGTATAAGGAGTGTAACTATAGTTTTTTTAGAATCTTTATCTTTATATATAAAATTTGAAAGTCGGGCTTTCGTAATTGCGTCACGTGGCAGGTATATATACTTGGATTTTTTTAGAAATTATCTGTCACCATTTATGACTTTAATAACTTGGCAATTTTAAATTAAATATGGAAAAAATAAATTCTACTTAGTGCCTGTTTAGGAACAACATTAGCGATTAGCGTTAGCGTTTTGAAAAAGCTATCTACGGGCAACGTTTAGCGTTAGCGTTTTCAAAGCGATCCGCACCGTTAAAATTTTATCCAAAACGCTAACGTTAATCTCTAACGTTATTCTCAAACAGGCCCTTAATATATCGAGTATATACCTTGTACGGTGAGTAGATTATAATTACAGACAAGTAATATCCAAAGCAATTTCCTCAACCAAAACGTTGACTTACTTTTTATAAGTGATGGATCAAAATGCAAAATCATTAAATTCAAATCTTTTTATAGACATTTTCTTCTCTTTAGTTAATTTTAATTATTGTGGTAATTAATTCTATAAATAATTTATTTTTTTAATTTTAAAAATAATATAAAGTAAAATACTGTGTTATTAACTTTAAAAATAATATAAAGTGAAATACTGTTAATCTTTTTATAGATATTTCTTACTGCACATCCATACTTTAACTTCTCTGTAATTAGTTTTAAAAATAATCTAAAGAGAAATATCTAATTAATACAATATAGTTTCATTGATTTAAAAAAATCACAATTACAAATAAATTAAAGTTACCACCCAAAATAAAAAAGATAAGAATAATAATAATAAAGAAAAATTGTGAAGAACAAAATCCATAGTTATTATGGTCTGAGTGTAAAATATAATTAGTATTCGTGAAAAGCCAAATTTAAAGATCTTTTTGGATAGAGGAAGAACATAATCCAAATTTAAAGATACTTTGATATACAGGTACACATGTATAAAGGAAGTGGGGACAAATGTTTCTACTGGAAAAAACTATTGAAGGTGAGGGAAGAGTTTAAGGCCATGCTTGTGAAGGGAGATTATACTTTTCAGGAAGGCTATAAGTGGGTTATGGGAGAGAGATCTAAAGTGGCATGGGATAATACAGTTTGGAACAATTGGACCCAGCCGAAACACCAAATAGTGGCTTGGCTAATCTAGAAAGGGAGACTACAAACAAGAACCAGGTTGAGCAAATTCATGCAACTGGATACTAGATGTGGAATATGTGAGAGGTATGAAGAGGATCTGGACCATTTGTTTTGTTCTTGCCAATACGCCACGGAAGTGCTTAGTGAGATATTTAAATGGATGGGAATGGACATTAATGTTCATACACTAAGAGAGGTGGAGAAGATGATGGATGCTTGCAAGAGTAGAAAAGAAAGAAAGCTAAGGGAAGCAACATTCAACGCTTGTTGTTATGCTATATGGAGAGCTAGAAACCAGATTATCCATGGGAAAGAACCCATCTCGGCTAATGAGTGCATTGAATACCTTAAATTCCAAGTTTATACATTTGTAATTCCTAAATCTAAGTAGCAATAGGGAGGGCGCATGAATGATTGTTTAGCCGAGAGCTAAGTTTGTATTGATTCCCATGGAATAAAAATTTGCATTTCGTTCAAAAAAAAAGATATATAGGTACACATTAATAGTAATCAATTAATAAAAAATTAAAAATTATATTTTTAAGGAATCTTATTTAAAGTAATAAGTACTCTCAAATGCTACCTATCCTCTATCTTTTTTTGGAAAGTAACTAATACTGGGTACCCCGTTAATACGGATTACGGGGTAGTATTTTTTTAGTAACTCTCAAAGGTAAAATTTGTTTAATCTTATACTCCGTAATACGGAGTAGCATTTCACGAGTACCAAAATATTTAGCTCTTTAATATAAAGAAAGTATTAAAATAAGAATTTTAAAATATTATCTCCAAAATAGGTGTTTGTACTGTAGTAATGTAACATTGTATATGAACATTTCACAATAGTTTTTGGTAATTTAATTAAATGGTTATAATTGACATTGTAAATGTATTTTAACTTCTATTTCGGAAATAAAACATGAAACTTCTATTTTGGTATATTTTTAATATTTTACTCCTACTTTAATCTTTTTCTCTCTATTTAATTAAAAATTAATTACTATTTTGAGAGTAAAAGGTGCTTTCTCTATCTTAAATATAATTTCTCATTGACTTTCGTGATTTTCAATGTAATACTTTGACCATTAATATCTTTATTTGTATATGAAGTAAAAATATATATTATAAAAATTAAATATTTCAGAATTATGTTTCAAAATGAATGTATTGGTGTTAAATTTAAATAAAAATTCAGTATATTTGTTATATTATATGTGGTCAAAATTCAAAAAAAAATCTACTACACAAATTAAATTAAAAATTAATTTTTGGACGGAGAGAGTATTAAATATTAAGTATTATACTATATAAGGAAAAGTGTTACCTAATTAGGCTAATTTATACTCTACCCTATATGTAGCAAATTTGACTAATTAATCCTCCGTATTTATTATTGAAATTAGAGTCCAATCAAATGAGAGAATCCGTACATCCTGGATATATTGAAGTTATTGTAATAGATGAGGTTGCAGCTGGTTGGCACATCCACCATTTGGAAGCAAAGATAGACACTCCAACTAATCCTCCATCTATCCCAGAATTATTACTCGAGTACATAATTTTAAATAAATAAATATTATACATATCTAATATATTAAAATTATTTTTTAAAATAAATTAAATCATATAATTAAATATACATCTTTGGAAAAAAGACCAAAGTAGGACTAAAACATTGAAATTATATCAAAATAGGACTTTCATATTTTTATTCTTGATATAATATTTACATTACCAAAAAAGTATAATAATTTGCACATGTACACTGCCACATTACCACAGTACAAAGTTCTATTTCGAAAAAAAAAACATGAAAGTCCTATATATTTTAGTACTTTTCTCTATGTTTTAGTCCTATTTAAGATGATTTCTATACATATTTCACAATTTATGATAAAATAGTGTGACAATTTCGATCACCAAAAGAGTTAAACTAGAACAATACTCCCTTCATCCTAAAACGTTCTTCCCATTTCCCTTAACGAGATTTGACCTATTTTATTTTCAATTCAATTTATTTGACTGTGGATATAAGATTTATACATTTAAAAATTATATCAAAATTTTTACAAACTAAAAGGCGACAAAACTATATTATTTTATCAAATAACTAACAAAAATAGACATAAAAGATGTTAAAATTTGATCGTATAAATAGTAACTGAAAAGAACATTTTTTTTAGGAGGAAGAGAGAGTATTAATTGTAGAAGCTAAGGAAGGGAGTAAAATATAACGTACAAACATCCATTTATTTCACACGCACTCCTCCGTCCATATATATTTCTTGGCCGGGCATGTTCACATCTTCAATCAATCATCATCATCTTCCTATAAATAAATAAATTAAAATCATAACAAATACAGAACAATTAAGCTGTGGCATTATAGCAATATAATTAATTAAGGCACTGATCACAATAATGAAGAACTCTCATCATCATCATCATCATCATCATCATCATCATCATCATCAAAGCTCAAAAGCATTATTATGGATAGAGCTGTTGTTGATCACTCATTGTTTCTCGCTCCTCTCCATTACCCAAGCTTACGATTTCTTCTACTTCGTTCAACAGGTTTCTATAATCAATTCTCCTATTTTTGCACCATATATATTTCCTGTGTCCTAATAGAATATAAAAATATTTCTTGATACACACACACACTGTCTAGACATAATTTCTCGTTTCACTTTTTTTCGTCCGGATCCAATCTTTCTATTTATCATATATATATATATGTATGTTTGGAAAAAAATACATAACATTCTTTTTTTTCTTTGTCCGGGTTTAATCTTTCCATTTTTCATGTTTAAACATTTAATTTTTAGTAAGGGTATTTTGGACAAATCAATACACAGTCAACCTCTTTTAAACATTTAAAAAAAAGAGGAAAAATCAAAACAAGAAGGCTAAATCCAGAAGGAGTGGGGTAACTATAAGTTTGACTTTTTGATAGAGTTGATTTTTTAACATGGTATCAAAGTTTTATTATAGTGTAATGCTAGAGTCACAAATAACTTAGACACAAATTACACAAATGTGTCGATCATTTCTATATTTAATTGTTTGGTTTTTAATTTTTTAAAATTATTTTATTTATTTGGAAAAATACACAAATGACCACGAGTTTGTGTAGTCTGTGTCCAAATTATTTGTGATTCTAGTAGCATCATTCTTTATTGTATACTCGACCAAAATGAATGGCATGTTGGAATATAAAGTTATTTTGGTCCTTCAATCACAAATTTAAACTTTTCATTGGAAGTGATATCTTAATGGCATTATTTTGTGTATGCAGTGGCCAGGATCTTATTGTGACACCAAAAAGAGTTGTTGTTATCCAACCACAGGGAAGCCAAAATCAGACTTTGGCATCCATGGACTATGGCCTAATAACAATGATGGATCTTACCCTTCCAACTGCGATTCTACCAATCCTTACGATGAATCCAAGGTTCTCTTCTTCAACAATCAAAATCAAATATTGAATATAAATCCCATTTTTTTTGGATCTTGATGTTTTAAGTTATGTTATTTAACCCAAAGTGTTTTATGATGTACTTGAGTAACTAGGATCCAATATTGAATTATTGTATCAAAATCATAATCATTACTTGACTCTTCTTTTTTTTTTGAACCTCTGAACGACGTATGTACATAGATCTCAGACCTAATGAGCAGAATGCACGAAGAGTGGGCGACGTTGTCTTGTCCAAGTAATAGCGGATCGTCATTCTGGTCACACGAATGGGATAAACACGGTACGTGTTCAGAGTCCGTTCTCAACGAGCACGCTTACTTTCAAACCGCTTTGAACCTCAAGAATCAAATTGACTTGCTCCAGGCTCTTCAGAGTGCAGGTATATTAACCTACCTTTGTCTTGAAATTATGGCCACAATTGCTTACTATTCATAGAATGAATCAAATTATATTCTCTTTTCATTACATACTGTGACATGAGATATATCCTGTATATATGTAGGGATAGAGCCGGATGGAAGTTTTTACAGTTTGACTGACATAAAGAGAGCAATTGAAAATGCCATTGGAAATGAAGCTTGGATAGAATGCAACCGTGACGAAGATGGAAACAGCCAATTATACCAAGTTTACATTTGTGTCGATTCCTCAGCTTCTGAACTCATCACATGCCCAGTTTTCCCTAGAGGAAGTTGTGCTTCCAACATTAAATTCCCATCATTCTAGTGACGAATAATTTTTAATGTTTAATTTGCTTATTACAAGCTTGGGATGTCATGATCCCCTATTAGGGTTTATGTTTTCATAGACGAAGTAACAAATAAAAAGAAATTGTAATAAAAAAAACATATTTACATATTTATAAGTGATAGATGTTTGATGGTTCAATGAAGCCTTATTGTTCTTGCATTTTGTGTTGGTGGGTGTATGAGGAGTCGATTTAAACCGCCCATCCATTCAATTTATTATTCTTTGTTTGTATTTGGACCCAAGAGGCGTAGCGCGTTCTATCTACTAAAGGAAGGCCTTGTTCAGGAACAACATTTTCGATTAGCGTTAGCATTTTAGATAAAAGTTTAATGATGTAGATTAATTTTGAAAACGCTAACGTAAAAAAGCTACTGCCTGATTGATTTTTCAAAACGCTAACGCTAACCTCTAACATTGATGCCAAACATGGTCAAAATCTGTGTGGGTCATGTGAAATGTATGGATGGAGTCACATGCGAGTTGGGTCGCTTGAGGGGCGTGTTCCAAGCATTACTACTCATGATCCATGATTAATGAAATATCCTAAAATGTAGTGTGCGTTCTCAAACAAAAGCAATGAATAGAAGAAGCTACAAACCATATTGGATATACACTTCGCACGGACAATTGGGCTGAAGACTAGGCCAATAAGAATGAACGTCTAGACGGAGACTTTAACAAACAAGGTGGGTTAAAATTGTCTTTGATACCATGATAGAATTTAGAATGAGTAAGAATCACTGGACTAGGCGGCTATAAGACACTTGGGCTGAACCGTACCACATTAAATTTAAGAGCTTATTATATATTAATTTATTTTCTCTACAAGTTCTGATTTGAGAGACTCTTTAACACAAATAACATATGAGAACAAAAGAGAACACAACAAAAAGTTTACAACGATATGCTTAAAACTCCGAATGATAAGAGCAATAAAATTGCTGCAATGTTTGCTCAACATTTGTGAAGGAACGTGACTTCCTATATGACTGCATTTCTAGATGGTGTCAACTCTATCAACCAAAAATAGTTAGGGTTCGTTTGGTACATAAAATTAGACTTAAATTGGGATTTGAAATTCTGTAGAATTGATTTGGATGAAATTGAATTCTCTAATTTTAATTCATTTTTGGCACTACCAAATACCTATTCAAGATTCACATATTTTTGTGTTACTATACCAAACAACAAAAATGGAATTGCTGTCTCCATCTCCAGGCCGCCAGTTCCATGATTTGAATCTCGTATATCAAACGAAGCCCTACTGTCACCCAACTGTATATGGCTGATGAAGGTGTCTTTGAGTGTAGGTAGAATAAGAAATAATTTCACAATATTCCTCAACACAAAGTATATACAAATCTCTCTCAAGATATAGCATACTTTCCCTCTATCCATTGGTAAAAATAGGTTCATCTTCATTTTTTATGCATTCCACAAAAGAGTTATACTCTCATGTAGAATGTCTAGTATACATCTCATTTCTTCTTCAGTGCGTGTAGAAGTTATTTTGCGTATATTTTAGATATTTTAGTAAGGTAAAAATATTTTATGAAATGTGTAAAAATAAAAGTGAAACTGTTTATCACAGGGGAGTATAAAATAACACTTTTCAAAGTTCTTTTCAAGCTCTAATAAAAGATATATGATGAACTAACGTGACTCATTTGAAACTTATAGATCATGTAACATATGAACATTAAAAAAGATTTAAAACTCATCTAGACATAATGCATATTATATCTAGATATAGAACAACAAAAAATTTAGGACTAAACATGATAAAAAAAATAATTGATTTAATGAGTTTGGAGACATGATAAGATCCGAGTTCAAAAGTAATATACTCGCTTCATCCAAAAAATCTTATTTTAATTTCAGAGAGATTAAGAAAAATGTTTAAAAAAATATTTAAAAATATCAAATTGTGAAAATAAAATGATTAAAGTTGTTGATAAGAGAAGAACTTGATGATAAGATTATTTCTTAAAGAGGAAAGTAAAAAAGGAAAAAATAAAATAAATCAAAGCATTTAAATTTATAAAGAGGATACACTAGTTTTTAGAATATAATTCTAATATAATACAAAATATTTTCATTTGAGTTTAAGAATAGTATCACAAGGAGTTATTTTGTGATTCTTGACCATTGTTTTACAAAAATACTATGTATTTTGACATACGTAACCAAATTAATATTAAAAATTACTCCGCATTTTGTACGTAATATATACTATATTTTCATTTAGGATATAAAAATGAAAAAATAACAAAAATAATATACTCCCTCCGTCCCATAAAACATTTCCTGTTTCAAAAAAGGCGCGCCCTTAAAATGAGTAATTTTGGTGTTATTTTCTAATTTTGCTCTTACTTTATAAAAGAGTAGGATGAGATGTGTAGAATAGATTAGTCATAATTAAATTATAACACTAAAATTACTCATTTTAAAGGCGTGCCATTTTTGAAACAAGAAATGTTTTATGGGACGGAGGGAGTATAAAAGTAGAAATTTTGTTTACCTTTACCATAAAAGTATAATTATTAATATTTGTTGAATAATTTCTTTAAAAAAGTCATTCTTTTGTAACGGAAAAAAAGCATTCTTTTTTTGTACACAATAATATTGTCCTTTATTTACTCATCAGAGCTAATTGCAATTACCTAACTCAAAAAAATATTTCATTTTTAAAATTTTTCTTATATACTATATTGAGACCGATTAAGAGTAATATTTGTTAGTTCAATGTGTTGTTTTGAGGTGTGAGTGGTCATCAACACATTGAACTAACACTTGTAATTTGTGTGGACTCATATATAGATTCTAAAAATTTTAACATTTTTTAGAAATATTTGCACTAAATCCCACCAAAACTTAAGTCATTTTTATAAATAACACTTAATTTATTTTGTTTTCTAAATAGCAATTAAAAATGTCTCGAAGGAGAAATACTGACCAGTGATGGCGAACATTTACTTGTATAATGATTAATGGATAATGACTAAAAATGCTACATTGGGAAAATAATCATATGCTATTTAGGAAAAATCTTTATATTTTAGTGCTATTTAAGTAAATTCCCCCAATTTAAAACTATATTTTGAATTGAAATGTCCTTTTATTTATTTTGATATTCTTATCATAAATATTTGGTATGAAATGAATATTTTTTAATTATTAGATATGATATCTTTTGAAATAAAAATTATAGTCTTAACAATGATGCACATGTACTAAAAATTAAAAACAGGTATTAAAAATTAGAACATGTGCTATGATGTGAGACAAAAATAGATCTGTCACATGGTGATGTGAAACGTTTTAACTAATAAAAAATAATTCATTCAGCTTGTGACAAATGAGTGGAATGACATATCCCGCAGTGACAAGTCATTATTTTTCACTTCTTACACTTTTTTGAAAGACGTATTTTAATTGTTAAAAATTATTTTACTTATTTTTTTCAAAAACAGATGTAGTTCTTTCAAAAATAGATGTACTCCGTACTTCTTTATTGTACCAAAAAAGGAAAAAAATATTTTTTTTCTAACCAAATGTATTTTAAAAATTAGAATTCAAAATAATAGATCCTAAAAAATTACGGAAACAAAAACATTTGGTTTAACTTCGTGCGTCACACGAGTTAAAATCCTAGTTGAAAAAATATAATAATACTAAAAAAAGATTCACTGTGCAAAATAAAAGGTAACATTTATTTTTTTTTTGGAAATAAAATGTGATATGAGTTGGAGGGGCCGAGGGGGTAGATCAACTTTTATTTTTATTTTTGGAAATGCTTCCTTCAAAGAAAGACATGACTCCATTTTTTTTTAACTTAGCCGTAAATTGCGCCTTCAACTGCGTCTCCCTTACCCCTCTCAACAGATTCCCAGATTTCGAATGCCCAGTTCGCATTTCAACGAAGACTTCGAAGCGACTTGAAGTCCAGTCTCCGTTCCGGTCCAGTCAAGCTGTCTGCGCACATACATTCATCGTCCGCTCCTCCGTCCCTCTCAGTTTCTGAACCGAACTCTTCTCTCCGCAATAGGCATAACAAAACAAAAGGTAAGAAAATGCGTGTTCCTCGCTTCATATACACGCCATTGAAGTATTGAACTGTTCCTCTATACGTATTCGAACTTCAGCTTGATTTTCAAGCTTCAAGCAGCAGTTGAAACTTGAAAAATCACGATTAATGTGTACGGCTGTACTTCTAGGGATTTTCCAGAATTTAATAAATCGTTATGTCTTATTTCGCGTCATTGCTTTTGTTGAATTTGAGTTTTGTTTTTGTTTGATCTCTATGATTGCATCGCCATTAGACAAGTAACCGACCTTTTATTGGCGTTTGAATTATTATTATTTTTGACTAGTCTGGTCAGCGCTGATGAAAACTGAAAATTCGTTTAAATATACTACTTCAATGCCTGCTGTTTTGATTTGAGAAGGAACTTATTCAGGATTTTAGCTATTAAGAGAGATATTGGGAATTTATGGTTCTCTTCCTCGCTTTTATTTTGATTCTGAAAATCTATATTGAGGTACAGAGTCGTAGCAATCTGCTCCTGAGTTCTGATTATTGTAGAGTATGTTGACTTGACCAATTGGTATGTACTATCCATTGATTAATTTCTTGCTCTAACTAACGCCTCTAAGGACATAAACAGTTTGTTGATGCAGTAACTCAATATACCATAATTTTGTTGCTGGGATATATGTTTGTTTAGTTAACGTTTTCGTGTTTTCTTTCAGTATTTTACAGCCTTCACTTGGCTTTCGATCACCAGAAACTCTTCAATAATATGATGTTATGTCTCCTGCTTTCAAAAATATTTTTGGTAACTTGCTGCAAAATGCAAATGCAAACAAGAGCATGGATTCAAACCATACCTCACTGTTCATATTTCTACTCTATTTTTCAATCGTAGAAACACTGGATCTTATTATTTTATTTTATTTACTTGTAAAGTAGGCCATGCAATTAATCATACCTGTCATCAGCAAAGCCCATAAAATAGCCAATTAAATTCTGGGCTGATCGTTGATTCATCATCACCTAAATCCCTACCTGCTGGGATTAGTTCCAAGAAAATTTATATTTTCCATTAAATGTCTACAATTTGTTAGCACTATAATTCATGCAAGAAAGCATAGTA